TTGCTGTTGTGGTCCGTTCCCTTTAGTACCAATTCCGATTATTGTTGAATATGATACAAGTTTTGCCTTCAGAGCAATTACCGTTCCACCTACATATCATTTTGTGGAGAAAAAGTGGTTGCGATAAATGAGGAAAAAATAGAGAAAGTGAGGACAATAACGAGGGGCGCGGGACGAGAAACAGGAGGTGTTGTATCGGATAGAGTATCGGCGAGGATTTCGAAGATCTTCAAGATAAAGAAATCTCTTTTTTTTAATCCCCCCCTGGCTTCCGGATTTTACTTTTCAAAATTATCGAAACTTCACTAAATTACTTCCATTACCTCTGGACAGCGTTCCATACGGCCATCCATCACATCGTCGAGGTGTGTCTCAGCGGACCTTGCATATATACTTCCCGACTCACTTCTTCCACTGCAATTCATATACGAAGAGCTGGTGGACGAAGTGGACATGAACATCGACCACATCATATTTACTCCCGGATCATTCCGATGCGCGGCAAAATCAAATGGATTTAAAATTGCCGAATTAACCCGGCTGGATGGTTCACTGTCACTGTGTTCAGTATGTATGTCATCTTGGCTCGCATAATCGTAGGGATCTGGAGTGGCGGGCATCCAGGAATATACCTGATCACCACCGAGAAGTGGGGATAGGCCAGGTTGTCCATCACGCCGATACAAAACAACCAGGAGGAAGGAATCGTTCTCGTCATCCTGTTCCTCCATTAAAGACAAGGTACAAAGGAGATAGGGGTCAAGATTCTCGTTATCGTCAGTGTTGCTCAGGATTGATGGGATTTTTGCCGACTGGTTGTTCTCGCTCCCATCAGGTTCCGGAGTAGCTTCGACCATCTCGAAGTCAGTCTCGCTGTCTTCGTTTGAGGTGGAGTTACAGGGATCGCAGCGGGACTGAGGGCCCGTGACTGTCGGATTGAGTTGTGGGGGCCGGGTTGCTGTGTGCAAGCGAGGAACTCCATCTTGGAGGAGTAACCTTTCCATGGCCACTGGTGTGGTCATCTTAAGAGAGGTGAAAGGAGGTGGCAAAAAGGGGCAAGGACACAGTGGGTACCCGGAATTACTGAACTTTGAATGACTAGGAAAGGTTGGATATCGAAACAAGAATTGATGAATAGGAAACTAGTGTAGCAATATGGAGGCCAGGCTCGATGTATATGATGACATAGGAAGCAATGAAATACTAAACATTGAAACTTGATACCCGAATATGTATGGAAAACAGATAGACAGGTCCAAATTGAACTAAGAATCTCTAAGAGAGGGAAGGGATGGAGAAGGGAGGTGAAACGGTTAATTATTAGTAGGGTGCCTTGAAGTTTTATGCGTTCTTCATGTAGGGAAAGAGCTCTTATTTGTAATTAGTGCTATGAGGGTCAGTTGCTCTCGATCGGGAGCGTAAGTCATTATTGAATCAGGAATCAAAGTCTGGGGTAGGATTTTGAGCTACCGTTTTATTAGCTCAAAGAAGCAAGGAGACTTCTGAGATTATCCCGGTCTTTTATCCAGGGTCTTCTCCGACTCTTCACCAAATTTTTATTTTTATCTTTTATTTTTATTTTCTCTGAGATACCACCCGCCTCACCCGAGAAAAGTGGGCTGGTATTGGTCAAATCGGCTTATCCCTTGATCATGACTTGCCAATTAGTGTCTCTATAGCTGGTCAAACCTTCCCCGAAGAGTTGGGGGCATCCCCTGTTGAGCCGCCTCAAAAATTGATTTGCAATGCGTTAGCAGCTTGGATAGTAGTCCCATGCCATATTAGATCTAGTAACCGCCGACATGCGATTTGAGGAAGGGAGGTCAATAGCGATTTCGTATAATTGGGGCTTGCCCGTTTGCCATCTCCAGATTGAGGGATATTGAAATTCTCTGGCTCGGCAATTTCTGTCAAGAAGAGAAAATAGCAATGAAATTACTTTCAAGCTGGGGTTGGTTGCAGAACTGCTGCAAGTGGGGAAAACTCTGGTTCGCTCACATGGGTGAAAAATTTCTCCTTGGGTACTTTATTTTCAATTTTGAGAAGACAGGGATTTGATAATATTCGAGATCGAGGAACAGCCTATGTCAATTTAAACATCGTTAGTTCACGTTCAATAGATTACAATCTCTTAGATATATACATCAGCAATGATATGGTGTTACGCGTCCAAACTTGTACATGTACGTACAGTACATAGCCTGAAATGATATATATATATATGATCAGATTTGCTCGAATATAGGACAAGGAAACGGGACATATCTGCCCTGAATTTAGAAAGCTCGAAGAGGAAAAATATACCTCAATCACGCAACCACGAGAAACCAATTGATATCATGCGTTGTTTGTGACAACTTTAAGGCAGCGACTCTGTCCAATGACACACTAATTAGGGAATAAAAGTGAGAAAATGATATTAGAAAACAGAAAAAGCTGTATCAATGGAAGTACCATGTCTGTACCTGTACCATTTTCCGGTTGCCACAAGTTCATGTACCACATATGATTGCGTCAGCCTCGCTAGTGATACCTTACCACGTCTGCAAACTCCTCGGTGAAAGAACACTGTCTCCATGAGTAAAAGTCAGAACGAGAATTCGGCAGGAGGCTGAATACCAGCGAATAGCTTCCATTCGCTTGACATGGAGGTTATAAGCGGGCCTGTTTGGCAAAGCCGCAAAATACCTTGGCGCCTGAGGTCATCTGCGTTCGGGATCGGGAGCCGCCATTGTCAATTGGTCAACGGTTGCCAATGCGGAAGGAAAATGTTTCTAGCGGACTTCCATAATCCCAGCTAGTGTATTGATTTGTCGTGGCTCGTATGATCAGGAAGCAGAAGATGTGGGATGGTTAATCTTCTCATTGTTGTGATCGCTAGCTAACTATATATAGGGGTAATCACGTGCGGTGGAGGGCCACCTGGGCAACTAATGCCCAAACCCCCCCACACGCCAATGTGTGTGATGAGTTCCTATGAATATTCCATGCTAGCTATTGTAACTTAGATCATTATGCTACATATAGAAATTTAACCATTTTCATCATTATCAGTGAAAAGTTCTAATAATTTAATAAAATATCTAAATATCACTATGCTCAGAGATTTGATTAATTCATCTGCTATTATATTCTCAATGAAAATGTGGTTAATAAAAATAACATCTTCATTCAATTGTGTGTGAAAATAGTGAAAGTAAATGTTGATATGCTTGCTGTGTACTGTGATTGCTAATTGAGTATTTTAATCATCATATTCAAAGCTGAACAATTTTAAATATTTTTTAATTAATGATTATTGAAGCAGCATTTGTAATATTTGTTTCAATAAATCAACAGAAAATTTGACTTACTGATCTGTCTATTTATTATGACAATAATCTATATAAATACAATATATTCATACAAACTTTTAAATGAATATATAAATTGAATCTGACTCAATATGATACTGATGAATTTAAGATTGTTTACACTTTAGATTGATTACAGAAGATCATTAAAATTATTTAAATTATTAAAGAAAGAAAATTTGAAAAATTACAGCAATTTTTTTCATGAAAAAATTTTAAAAAATTTTTGTATAATGATTTGAAAGATGTATGCAACTGTGATTTTACAGCAGTTATTATTATTATTCTATCATTATAGATGTATACAGTCAGTGACTATGACATTTATTTGAAATACTTCTGAATTTTTCAACTTAAAAATAAGCAAATATACAAAGTTAATTTAATACATGCAATAGCAGAATTCCAGCTCAGAATCAAACAATTATTGAAATTATTCAACTTAACAAAAAAATGTCAAAAAAATGACAGCAGATCAATACATTCAATTTAAAATAAATGAAATAAAAAATATAAAAACAACAGCTATTAAAAGAAAAGAAAGCATTCACAAATCAAACTTTTCAAAATAAGTCAAAATCAAAAATAATTAAAATGAAACAAATTTCAAAGTAAAAATAACAAAATAAAAATAAAAACAAAAACAAAAATTAAAGCAAATATATAAAAACAAAAAAAATAAAAAAAAAATAAAAAAAAAATAAAAATTGAATTCATTTCAGACTCAGTTATTCAACTGAAATCTTGTAGCAATATTTGATTCTTTCAAATATTCAATAAAAAATTCATTTCCAGTTTTTATATTGAACAAAAGTTTTAAATTTTAACTGTTTCAATTCAAACTTCTCTTTCAATCTCAATCTTAACTCTGTATGATTTGTACAAAGTAAAAGAAGATGCTTTGGGTTTTCATATAAATGACAATCTGAATATAAATCACTTAAATCATTTTTAATCTTTGTTAAATATAATTTAAAATAACCATGTCCAAGCTTTAGCTGCATTATTGTAGCAAAAAGTTTCTTTTTACATTTTATTGAGCAAGCTTTCCATTTTGGCTTAGTTTCAAACCTGGAATGATGTATACCCTTTTTTTATAAAAACCAAATATCTTGCCATTTTTGCAAATATGATTCTCTTATTTTTTTCTTAATATAAGCCCACAATTTTTTGAAAGCAGACTTCCAATTCAGTTGCTTTTTTTGCAGCTTTATCAGCCATTTCATTGCCATATATACCCATGTGAGCAGGCACCCAGTGAAGATGAATAGAATAATTGAATGAGATTTTTCTTTGAATATTTGAAGACTTTTCAAAATTGGGACTAGCATTGACTGTCCACTGCTGATTTTATTACTTTGAAGTCTTTTAAGCCCAGCTTGACTATCAGAGAATATCCAAATATGCTCAAATCTTTTCCCATTGTTCAATCTTCATCTCAACCAATTTAAAAGCTCTTGAAATTGCAAATAATTCAGCATTAAAAACTTCTGACTCTTTTCCAATTTGCCAAGAACCAAGAATATAGTTTTTATCATTTTCTGAATATGCTATTCCAGCTCCACGATTGCCTGTTTTCTCACATTTTAAGCCATCAGTGTATATAAGAATTGCTTTGTTTCTCATTTGTTTTAGAAGATTTAAATGTTGTTCAGTCTGAACTTCTTTTGAAAGTTGCCTAATATTTAAATCAATAAGACTGATAAGATCTTTCTTCCAAGGAGAGAGATTTTCAAAGACCATTTTCTCCACATTTAAACTAGAGAAACTGTCTTTAATCATGGAGCAAATTCTAAATAACTGAGATGGTATCTTTTTCTTTGCACAAATGTTGAATTATCAGATGAATTTATTTCATTCCATTCAAAATATGACTCCCAATTCAGATTTACTCCAGTTGATTCACTTGGAAAAGAAGTTGAGACTTTTTTTCTAATTGAATGATTGGAATATAACTTCATAATTCTGAGAGTATAATTCATACAGATTTTATCAAATCTCACTTGTGGTGGTAGTAGAGAGGCTTCAATCTCTATGGCTTTAACTGAAGAGGTTTTAAATACCTCTAATATTTTTTTTAAAGCTGAATTTTGAAGCTTTTGAAACCTCTCTACAAAACTCTTTTGATTTTTCCACCATATTTGAACTGCAAAGTCTGAAACAGAGGTTATACAAGCAATATATAATTGTCTTATTGCTTGAAAAGACAAGCTTCTCTCAGTATTTGAAAGTCTTAAAATACTGTTTAAGATTCTTTCAGCACTTGCAACTTTGATCTGATCATGAGATTTAAAATTTAACTGAGAATCTAACCAGACACCAAGCCATCTAACTGAATTTTTTGGTTTAACTGAATGATTTAAAAGCTTAACTTCAGTAATATAGCAAATAAAAGGAGTGAAACTGGGGAACTCTGAGGAACTCCTATCTCAATATCTGTTATATCTTGTCGCATTCCATCAAAAAGCAACTGAATAGTTCTTTTTGATATGAAACAGATAACTCATTTAATGAGAGACTTTGGCATTCTCAGTTCTATCAAAGTTTTGATCATTTGAGAAAGTGAAACACAATCAAATGCATTTTTTATACCAATAAACATTGCAGTTGTAACTATTTTTTCATTCTTTACAAGTTGAATATCATGAACTACAGAGAAAACTGTATCA